AGAGACACGGGGAGAGTATGAGAACAAGAGGCAGAGTGAACTGAGGAAGGCAGAGTGGGAGGGAGGCAGGCCATGCCCTCTGCAGATATTTGTCCAATAGAAACAACTCTCACTTCCAGATCATTCTAGGGCCCGGAACAGGTGGTAGGGAGAGAAAGAGAGCTCAGTGCTTAGCCTGTGTGATACAGGCAGATTGGGAACCCTCCCTTGGGGAGAGGCTGGTCAGTGACCACCCAGGATCCCAGCAGCACACCCACTGGCCTCACACAGAACCTGGGCCACCCGCCCAGAATGGCCGTCAGCCCGCCCACCGCCTGGCTCCAGTCTGATTACAGCCAAAGTGCCAAAAGGCTCCAGACACCCCCATTCCCTGCCCCCATCATCTCACCTCCCCAAGCCTCCTCTCTTCCTTCCCCTTTAGATCCCTCTCTTCCTTTCTTCCTGGTCCTCAGGGGAGCAGTTTGTGCCCCTGTTTAGCCACTAGCTGTGAGGAAAGGGGTCCTCGTCCATCAAGCCCCCTTTCCTGGTTTGGGGCTGGATGCTCCTTCCCTCCAAAGCCCTCTTGGTCTGGCCTCTTTGAGACACGTTCCACGCCTCGCCTAAGAGCTCATAAATACCAAGGAGAGGCCAGCCAGGCTGTGTACAAAGCGTGGATCCCCACTCTCCCCCCTGCCCCCCCCCCTTTAACAGCTCCTGGGTTCCTCCCAAGCTTCCTTTACTTCCCCAGACACCTGCATGGGGTGGCAGGGCAAGAGGTGAGGCATTAGTTACCTGTGTGAACCTGGCCCTATTTCAAATAAGACCTGCCTCGGTTTGCAAAGAAATCTCAGGAAAGGCGTCTCAGGGCCCCTTGTGCAAGCAGCAGGCTCAGGAATTCCTTGACTCCCATCCAAACCTCCCCCCAGCCCCTTCTTGGCCTTTCTCTCTGCTCATTACCATCCACACCACCTCCCACCCACCGGGAAAAAGAGAAGGTCATCGCCAAAGGGGCCCAGGGAAGGGGAGCCTTCTGGAGGATAGAGCAGGGCGGGGTAAGAGCTGTTTACCCACACCCCAGCTCCCCTTAGCTCATCTCCCCTCCCATCCAAGGGCCAGCAAAAATTCAAAATCATTCAGCCACGCATAGCTGAGAACAGAGTGAAGAGAAATCTTAACTCTGCCCCACGAGAGAGCAGAGCATAAGGTGATAGCAAGGGTGAGAGTGGACCCTTCTTCTTTGGTCACCCACTTTCGAAAGGACAGAAGGAGGCTCTAGTGCCACTATGAGGAAGAGGGTGGACCCGACTCTGCTGGCTGGGTAGACCTGGCAGCCTTGAGGGGACCTGGGATTCTTCCTCAGGTCTCTGCTGATACAGTTCACCATGTCTGCAGCGCGACCCTTGAACCTCAGCAGAGCCTAGTGTGCCACCAGCAGACAGTTTTATTATATTTCCATGAAAATGCCTTGGGCGTAATGCCTTTTGCTCCTTGTTATTTAGGATACCCTGGCCAGTGTTGGGCACACAGCAGGTGCTCAGTAAGTGCTGACTTGACTCCATGCAGGGTTCTACAGACCAGAACTTAACTCTCAGACCAGTGACTCCTCCCTCTGGCTCCCAGAACTGAGAATGACAGTGTGGAATAAAATGAAGATGCAGGTCAGGAGCTAGCTTGAGCCTCTGGCCTTGACCCTCTGCCTGGCAGCCCCACAACAGGCCTTTGCGTGAGGAGCTGAGCTCTCCAGTAGTGTCTAGGACCTTGAGACTGGAAGTTTATTTTGAGATTTGAAGCTCCAAAGAGGCAGATCCCAGAAAACCTCTTCTCTGGCTCCATATTTGTTCTCTAGTTAAGTGGTTGAGTGCAGCTCTTGCAGTCAGCTGGCTCCTGCAGCCTGGAATTCCTCCTGGGGAGCGGGGGACTCAGAGGAGAGGGGACGAAGCAGCAGCAGGAGCCAAGCCCCAGCCTAGGTTGTCCACTCTGGGGGCAGAGGTGACTTGTAAACCTTAGAGAGAAATCTAGTCCCCTCACCCACTTCCTTCCCTCTCAGAGCTGCTGATGTTTCTGGCCACCCCCTGCCCCTGGCCCCCACCGCCCTTCAGCTCAGAAACATGCTTTTAATTTTTTTAAAATTTCTATTTATTTATTTTGAGACAGGGTCTCACTCTGTTGCCCAGGATGGAGTGCAGTGGTGCATTCATGCCTCACTGCAGCCTTGACCTCCTGGGCGTAAACTATCCTGTTGCCTCAGTCTCTCAAGTAGCTGGGATCACAGGTGTGCGTGACCACACCTGAGTAATTTAAAAATTTTGGGGGGGTCTCACCGTATTGAATAGGCTAGTCTCTAACTCCTGTGCTCCAGCCATCCTCCCACCTCGGCCTCCCAATGTGCTGGGATTATAGGCGTAAGTCACCAAGCCTGGGCCTCAAAAACATGCTTTAATACTTGAGCATCTGTGTTGTGCCAAGACACAGTCCCACTTGACTATAAAGACAGCTCAGGCCAAAGAAGGGGCCTCTGAAGTGATTTGGGGGCTCATGTGGGCGAGTCCACTCTAGGTTAGGGCTGATGTGATCATATTCAGCCAACTTTCTCTCTCCCCGCTCTTCCCACCAACCCCAGGCCCATATGTAGAAATAAACACAGGGCCAGAGTCACACCCAGGTCTAAACACACAGGGGAGTCTGGGAGAGGCTGCTGGAGCTCCAAGACTGCCCTGTGTCGGGATGGGGCCGGGCTGGGAGGAGGTGAAAGAGTGGTCCAAGGAAAGGGGCCCAGCCAAGAATGAGCCTGGGCTCATTCCTCTCCCACCTGCCCCTCTCAGGAAAACTAGGCACAGCGTCTGTGCCTTTCTAAGGAAATAGACGGGCCAACTGGAGCCCGCCTGACAAAAAGAAAGGGAGAGAAGGGGAAGAAAACAAGTTAGCTGGTTGGTCACAAAGGATATAGTCCCAGTTTCTGTGCCAGGAAGTCGGCCCTGAGAGGTCTCTGTATTCAGTCCACTCCAGCTCCCATCCAACTCCAGCCCAGCCCCCACTTTCCACCCAAGTGGGGAGCACTGCCTCCCATTCATGACTTGGAGCACCTCAGGGACTCATCTGAATTCTCTTCCTCCGTGGCACACTCCGCTCCAGCTGGGTGGCCTTTTCGATAGCCCTCATACACCAGCCCACTCCTGCCTTTGGGTCCCTGTACCGGCTCTGCACTCGGCTTGGGATGCTCTTCACCAGGAAGCTGCCTGGCTCATTTCCTCACCTCCTTCAAATCTCTGCTTGAATGTCACCTTAATGAGGCCTACCCTGATCATCCTAGTTGCAACTGTAACCATCCCCTTGATTGTGCTCTCTTTACCACTGCACTTACTACTTTCTAACATGCTCTGTTTTACTTCTGATGTTTATTGTTTACGGTCTATCCTCCTGCAATAGAATGCAAACTCCATGAGGGCATAGATGGTTCACCAATGTGCCCCTAATGCCTAGCACAGTCCCAGCATGTGATAGGAAATAAGTATTTGTTGAATCAATGAATGCACTCAGCACCTTACCACAGAAAGTGGGGGTAAAGGAGTGTCACTGTAGGTTGGGGACAGGAGAGAAGTGCTTGCAGCTCCTTCCCGCTCTGCCCGCCTGGCCATCACCCACAGAAGATGGGGCTGCAGAGTGAGGGGCGCTAGGACTAGGAGGCGGTGGGAGATAGGATAAAAGTTCCTCTGAAACCATCTCCACTATCTCTGTCTCTGAGATGTCTGCCCTGTGTCGGGAGGGGACCGGGCAGGGAGGAGGTGAAAGAGTGGTCCAAGGAAAGGGGCCCAACCAATAATGAGCCTGGGCTCATTCCTCTCCCACCTGCCCCTCTCGAGAAAACTTTAGGTTCCTCTGAACCTAAGCCAGCTGCACCCCATCTGCTTACACTCGGGAGGCACCTCTAAGGCCACCACCGCCCCCAACCCCCAGCCAAGGACTGACAGTGAATTTGGGGTTGGGGAGCGTCGGCAGTAACTAGTTAGTTGTTTACACCAGGACTTTAAAATCACATGAGGAGGCAGGAAAGACACCTGCGAGGTGGGAGAAACTGAGGCTGAAGAAGGGACTGGAGCGGGACCCCAGGTGAACTCTGAACTCTCGAAGTTGGAAGGCCAAGGATTTTAAAAAGAATTTTAGTTCCAAGGGCCACTGTGCCCGCAGGGGCTGTACCTACTATCCTGGGAGGTTTGAGGGTTGGGGTAGTGGGGAGAGGAGAGTCACTTACGGCAGACTGCACCTCCCCACCCCTTCCCGATTTACCACGCCCCCAGGCGATCTGCGGGCGGAGGGAGAGTGAGAGAGCAGTGGGGAGGAGGCACGATGGGAAGGCGAAGGAGGGAAAAAGCTCCAGGGCTTCCACCCTCTCAGCAGGACCCCCACCCTGGCCTCTGGTGCGGGAAAACCTCCCAGCTGTTTCTGATTCTTTCATACTCTCAGCCCCGCCCGAGAGGGTGGAGGACCGAGGCACAGAGGGGGAGCGGGGAGAGACTGAGCTCCGCCGAGCCCGGGCGTAAGGGGCGGGGAGTCCGCAGGTGCCCCCTTAACGTCGGCAGTCGATTCCCGGTCCGTAAAGAAAAGCACCCGGGCCGCGCAGGCCGGGCAGGCAGGAGCCAGGTCTAAACGTGATGCGTTGGGGGTGGGGGGTGCAGTGGGTCGGAGGAAGCAGGGCGATGAGCTCTAGCTGAAAGCATCCCCTGCCCGAAGCCGACTGCCCACGGCGCCCCTGTAGGCAGTGTTGAAAAGGTAGTCAAGACCCCCAACTCCCGGTGGCGGGGACTCCACCCATTTCACAGAAGCGCAAGGATGGAGGAAATGAGTGCATCCTTCGTGCTCAGCGCCAGTGTCACTGTAGGTTGGGGACAGGAGGGAAGTGCCCGCATCCCCTTGTTCCGCCAGCCTGGCCGTCACCCACAGAAGTGGGGCTGCCGATTGAAGGGCGCTAGGACCCGGTGGCGCGGTGTCGGCAGGGACTGGGCGCTCCGGGCGCAGGAGGGAGCCGCGGCGCCCCGTCGCAGCGCGCGGGAGCAGGTGGGGGAGCGGTGCGGTGGCGCGCTGGAGCCCCGAGGGGCGGAGGCGGCCGCTACACCTAGGGCGCCGCGGAGCGCCCCGGGCTTGGCGCGGGCGGAGCCGCCCTAAGGGCCGCGCGTGTCCCCGGCCTCGGCCCCGCCCCGCCCCGTCCAATGAGAGCCCGCGGCCGAAGGGGCTGTCCGCACACTAGGCCCGCAGCTCCCTTCTGCGCCGCAGACCCCCTGACATCGCACCCGGTGCTCAGGCAGCGGGCCCCAGATCCCGGGTTCGGCGCGCCGTCGTCGGCTTCCGGACACTACAACTTGCGCCCCTCTCTGGGACCCTGCTCCCGGGCTCTGGACCCCAGGTGACCCTAGGTCCCCAGCCGCCGGCGAACCCCATGGCCCCCCAGGGGGGTGAGGTAGGAGCAGCGTGAGTACCCCTAGAAGGTGCCCCGTCCACGCCCCTCCGGGCTGCGCGGCGGGAGTCTTCGGGGAGCTATGCTGAGACCGGGTGGTGCGGAGGAAGCTGCGCAGCTCCCGCTTCGGCGCGCCCGCGCCCCGGTCCCTGTGCCCTCGCCTGCGGCCCCCGACGGCTCCCGGGCTTCGGCCCGCCTAGGTCTTGCCTGCCTTCTGCTCCTGCTGCTGCTGACGCTGCCGGCCCGCGTAGACACGTCCTGGTGGTAAGTGGGGCTCTTAGGCTGGGCGGGTGAGGCGCTTGGTAGGAGAGGCCCGGAGGCGCCTGGAGGGATTGGCTGCTCACTGTACCAGGCTGTCGCTTCGACAGAGTTGGAGAACATTCGGGCAGGACTGTCACTGAAATCTGAAGTCCCGGGGTGGCGGGAGGGTGAGGCGCCGCGTCTTACACGCCTGGTGAGAAAGGCGCGGGGCATTTGGAGCCAGGACGCCCGGTGGTCGCGGCTCCTTAGGCCTCCGTGTGCTGTACCCCCTCTATTTCAGCTCAAGCTCCTTAGGGCAGAAGCTACCTTCCGAGTTTCCCTCAGGGTGAGTTCAAGGAACCAATGACCTTCCAGGGGCCGCAGTAGCTTCGCCGGGGCCCCAAACGTCTAAGGTCGCCCTCTGAGAGGTGGAGAAAGGGGCAGCTCGCTAGTCTAGCCCACCCATACCACAGGAAGGCTTTGGTGAGGCAGCAGCACCCAGCCGAGGCTTAGAAATGGAATCGAGGCAAAATTTACCCCATTAGCTCCCACAATTAAAACAAAATGCATGGGTTTGCCTTATCTAGGCGTTTGTCTTTGGCCACCGTTTTGAGGCTGTCACTTGGAAAATTTGTCTCCCTCCCTTCTTCCTATTCTTTCCTATCTCCCATTTCTCCCCTCCAAGAGCCAGAGGGCTGCGGAGTCCAAAGGTACTAAGAGAACCCCTCCCCAGATTTCTTGCAGGCCCTAGACTCCAGACACTTCACAAGAGGGCAGATGAGGCAAAAAGGCGTTACAGATCCACTGGATGTCTGGTGTCTGTTCTTTTTAGAATCCTCCGTGCCCACTATTCCTTGGATGGCACTCATCACCTTCCCGTAGGAGAAGGAGCTGCTTTCTCTTCTTCCCCACCCTGGGGAGAGGGCAAGGCAGGGAGAGTTGAACCTAGAAAAGACTCAGTCTTTCCTCTTCACCCCGCAATCAAACTGGCCTGTTGGAGTGGGCTATTGCCCCTCTCCACCATGCAGTGCCCCCCTTCCTTTCCTAACTCCGTTCTTTTTCCCGTGTAAGCCCCCCTCCCCCAAGTGTAGTCTCTTCTCCCCTTGCACCCTGTGGCTTTTCTTCTCTTGACTGGGAATCTTGGCTGAAGGGTGAGGGGTAGCCGGCCGAGGGGCCGCCAGCTTGGGCTGCAGATTCCTATCATTTCAAGATGCGTCTCTCCTCATCCCAACCCCCACTCCCTGTTTTCCTGTTTCAGAAAAATCTCTCTTTTGGATTTTTTTTTTTTTTAATCTCTGTAGTGTTGGGGAAGGCTGGGAGGGGGGGTTCTGGATGGGGGAACAGAGAGGCCTATATCTTACATCTGGCTTGAAACATTCTTTTAGAAAGGGAAAGGGGAGAAGGGGGATGAGAAAAACCTTTCAAAGTTTTGAGTGAGATCAAAGCCACCTTTTGCCTTCATGAGCTTGGTCTGGCTGGGGACTTGGCATCTTTAGGGTCTTTGTTGAGATAACGTGAAGTGACCACTGCCCATCTTTATCTGGCCCAGATGGCAGTTTGCTTTTTGGGACTCTTGATCGCTTCTTACCAGTTTGGGATGTAGTCTGGGGGACCAATTGGTGTTTGGGTGAGGAAGTGTCACTCTGGTAATTTCAGCATCCTGGCAGCGGTTCCTAAAGACCCAAATGGGGGTCTTCCCAGTCCCCATTTTGTACCCTTGACTACTCCTTCTCCCTTTTCCTTTCTCCCTCTACTACCGTCCCCTGATGTGGTTCATATTAAAGATTCTGGAAAAAATTCCTGGGTGAAAGAGCTAGGGAGGGAGGGAGGTGACACACAGAGTGACTTAGCAGCCCTTGTGAAAAGGAGGAAGGCTGCAACAGGGCCAGGTTGGGAAGTGCGTACAGAGGTTGTTTCAGCCTCCTTGCTCTACACCTGTCATAGTTACAGGCCCAGATGCCTGCCTCAGTGATCACCACTTGTGGGATAAGGTGAAAAGCTACCTTCTAAAGGCAGGCTAAGCCCCCAAGCTTTTCTCTTAGGAAAAAAACCAGCAAGACTGATGTTCGTACAACCCGTGGAAGAGAAATGCGTGTTGACTCTGGTGCGTCCATGTTCCACTCTGGAGCAGAAGGCCATCATTTTCACCAGTTAATAGTTGGATTTTTCTTATAGCTTGAGATTCTTCCCGTTACTCTCTAACCACTGCCCTCCCTCTATCTATCCTAAACAGACCAAGAAATAGGGGGGTCCGGCATGGGCTTTCCTGTTCCATTTTGCATTCTGTAGGGTGTTGGATGTAGGGAATCACGAGAACAGGATTGTGTTCATAAGCTCACAAAGGGAGAGAAACACAAAGTGGTGTCATATTGTTAGCATTACTGTTAGCAACAGCAGTTGCTTTTAATAAGCCCTTACTGAGCTTCAGGTACTATGGCCAAACACCTTATGAGCATGATCTTTGTCAATCTGAAATAATCCAGTGAGATAAGTTCTATAATTATCATCCTTATTTCACAAATGAAAGTGACGCATTAAGAGCAGATTCATGGAGGCTAACAGTGTTATCCCTTTGTTCAAAGTCCTATATGTGTTGGGCTGAACCATGTACACTAGGGGCTGTACACGAAAGGAGGAAAGAAAAAAGAAGTGGATCCTTGGCCCATTTGTGTCTTTAATATACAAACATAAAACATGTGCAGATAGGCTGGCAACTGTTGACAAGTAAAGCTGTGATGGAAATGGGAGTTGATGGCTGACTAGAGGGAGAAGGGAGTTGGGGATAAATCAGAACAGTTAGGTGTTTATTATAGTGATTGCATACCTACTATGTGTCAGGCACTGTTCTCAGTACTGGGGATACTGAAGTGAACAAAACTGACAAAAAGCCCTGCCTTTGTGGAGCAGTGCATCCAAACCATGTGGGGATCTTGGTGAAATGCAGATTCTGATATGGTAGGATTCTGATACTGTATAGATACAGTATCTGTATCTATAATACAGATACTGCTGTTCTGGGGACCACGCTTTGAGTAGCAAGGGGCTAGAGTAGTGTATGCTTCACTTTGTCAAATGAAGGGATGTGAATTGTCCAAAAGCAGGTGAAGAGAAGCATTCTGGGGCAGGAAGCTGGGAAGGAAGTGAAGAACTTCCAGAAGGAAAAAACAAAGCTAGAGTCGGGGCATCTAACACTCTACCAGACCATGAGGTGGGAGATGCCTTAAATATCTTTGTATCCCTAACATCTGAGCTCAGTGCTTGGCACATGGTAGGCATTTTGCAGTCTGGTGTTGAACTGAGAGGAAGATGGGGTTAGCCTCAGGCTCAGCTTTATTGGAGGCCTCCTACACTAACTACAAGGGGCTGACTGCTGGAGAGCAAGCAAGTGCCTTGCTCTGTGGCGTCTTGAGGCCATTACATAGTGGAGTAAGGGTGGTAATAGAGATACTTAATTATCTTCCCATCTTAGATACTGAACAGATGTTCCCACACTCAGTGAGGATGTAATAAAAAAGGACCTATGTGGGCTGCAGCAGAATGGACTTAAGTCAGACCACAAGAAGGACTTTTTGCCCGAGTTTGGCCTGCCCCACTCCAGACTGTCTCACGAGGGCTGGGTTATTGGTCTGTCATTCCCATCCAACCCTCCTCACCCAAGCCCCAGTAGGAAAAAAAAAAAAAAAAACAACAAACACCCATTGCCTAGAGCAGTACTTGGGCTGAATTAGGGAAGCTGAACAGTGGTGAGACAGGGACAAGCTCCAACTCCAACGGTCTTGATTCTCCAAACAAAGCACCACAGCAGTGGGTGTAACTCTGGGCTGTGCGTCAGGCAGCCCTTTCCGGCCTGGCCCTGTCTGGGGTGTTTATTTTGTTTGTTCCTGGAAGCTGTTGCCCTGATGGACAGTGCTGGGGATGCTGATTCCATGGGATTTGTTAGGGGAGGGCCAGCCCTCTCACCCCTTCCCCGGGACAGATGGGCCCCATCAGCCCTGCTGAGTTCCCGAAGAGGCAAGTATCAGCCCTCCTTGTGTTTGTTTGAGTTGGTGTCACCAGTGGTGATCCAGTCTGTGGGTGAGGGCCGGCTGTGGGAATGCGGGGGGGCAGTAGGGGGGGACACAGAGCCCAGGGCAGTCTAGCTTTTCCCCTCCCCACACCAGCTGCCCTCCCTTCTCCTCACCCACTTCTAGGCCCATTTTGGGGCTGTTCCCAAACCACAGGCTCATTCATAGCTCAAACCAAGTCTTTTCTGTCCGCAGTAGCAGTTGCTCTCCATGGCCCCCACCTGTTCAAAAAAGGGAGGGAGGACAGCCCTTTGATGCGTTCTGGACAGGAGAATAGAAAGTTCCCAGCAAATCAAGGAAGGTGCTATGGGGTTAAAGGGAGAGAAAGAGAATGAGAATGGAGCTGGGCTGTTGAGCTGAAGGAAGTGGGCGAATGGGTCAGATCTCATTTGGTGGCCTTTTGGGGAAAATGGGTGATATACTCCTGTTTTCTCTCTGAAATATTCTTCCTGAGGCTTGTGGTGGGATCCAGGGTTAAAACTTAGTGAAGAGAAAATATTGCCTTGAGAAACAATAATAACTCTGGCAACCCACCTATTCTTTAGTAGCCCATCTGAATTGACCTTCTTTTAATTGTTCATATTGGACAGACTGGAGACTGGAGTGTGGGGAGAGTCACCCTCTTACTTATCTTGGCCTTTGGCTTCCCACTGCAAACAGCCTGTGCAGTTCCATCCAGGTTGGGGAAGATGGTTTTAAAGGTTCATTAGTTAAGAAAGGTCCTAGCCGGGCGCGGTGGCTCAAGCCTGTAATCCCAGCACTTTGGGAGGCTGAGACGGGCGGATCACAAGGTCAGGAGATCGAGACCATCCTGGCTAACACGGTGAAACCCCGTCTCTACTAAAAAATACAAAAAACTAGCCGGGCGAGGTGGCGGGCGCCTGTGGTCCCAGCTACTCCGGAGGCTGAGGCAGGAGAATGGCGTAAACACGGGAGGCGGAGCTTGCAGTGAGCTGAGATCCGGCCACTGCACTCCAGCCTGGGCGACAGAGCCAGACTCAGTCTCAAAAAAAAAAAAAAAAAAAAAAAAAGAAAGGTCCTGGGGCCTGGAAATAAAGGGTTTGAGGAGGAGAGTAGAGGGTGGGATCTTCCTCCCCAGACCTCACAATTGGGAATGAAGATTTTTTTTAGCTCCACGGGTCTGACTAGAGCTGTAAACATTACTCAGATTGCTCACTATGTCTCTTCCCACGAGCCCCTCCCTGTCACCGTTCCCCTGCTGTCAAACCATATCTTCGTGGACCAGCCATGCAGGACACCCCTGTTAATGGGAGCATAAGAGTGTTGTCTCAGATCCTTATTTTGTTAGTTTATGTTTCCATGAAGCTCTTAATGTTTATTAAATAAACAATGAGTTTGTGTGACATGCCCACAGCTTCTGTGTATGTGACACATGCCTAGCCTGTGTGCTGGGAGTGTGTGTCACTTTGGCCTTTGGCTGGGGAACTGGTGATGGTGGGAGGCCACTCAATTACTCTCTCTGCAACTGTATAACTATACTTCTTCCGAACTGTGGGAAATGGTTCTACTCATCAGCTTTATGGAATGTGGGTTAGGGAGAGGGGACAGAATCTCTTCAAGGTCTGGATGCTAAACGTACCCCTTCCTTATTCCCTTCCAATGCAGAAAAAGGGCTGGGATGTTCTGACAGGGCCATCTCCGCCTTGCAGGTACATTGGGGCACTGGGGGCACGAGTGATCTGTGACAATATCCCTGGTTTGGTGAGCCGGCAGCGGCAGCTGTGCCAGCGTTACCCAGACATCATGCGTTCAGTGGGCGAGGGTGCCCGAGAGTGGATCCGAGAGTGTCAGCACCAATTCCGCCACCACCGCTGGAACTGTACCACCCTGGACCGGGACCACACCGTCTTTGGCCGTGTCATGCTCAGAAGTAGGGGCCTCTTCCATTCTGTGTCAACTCCTTCCCTTTCTGTGCTGGGGGTGGTGAGTGGAAAGGGTAGGAAAGATCTCCCCTCTCCTCTCCCACACACTGTTTCATAATCAGAGGAAGAATTGTGGGCACAGCCCAGGATATAATTGGGAACAGACTCTTAGCACCTTAGATTTGTAGACAGGGGCTCCTCTAAATCCTAGTGCTCTGGGACAAGACCAAGGTAAAGCATTCCCTAGAACCTCCATCTTTCTCTCTCATTTTCCTTGTCCTCTCCAATCCCCAGCTTGGGAGGCTACCATGTACTGTAAGGCTGAGGTCTACCATAGGCCCTCTGTTCTTAACACCACCATCACTATCATCACCCCAACACTCCCAGCACTACAGTAATGGGAACAAGAGATAAACAGAAAGGTGATATGTAAATATTTGGAGTCAGTGGCTTGGCCTCAGCTCAGCAAAAAAGATAAATAGAGCTAGACAGTAAACTAGGAGAAAGGGAACAAAATGGGAATCTGGAGGTGTCAGGCATACAGGGGCGATCATTCATCAGTCTCCAAGAGCAGGGAGGGAGAGCAAGCAGGCAAGGGAAGGTAGCATGGATCTCTAAACAGGCTGACCCCTGGGCTGGGGTCTCCATTGTGGGGGAACTGTCCAGCAGAGTGGGCCTGAAAAGGCCTGGAATGTGGACTAAGGCAGGCTTAGCTGAGCCAGGGCTAGCACTCAGTGGGAGGGGATGATTCACCAGGAGACTTTTCAATGGATGGACACAGGGAATTTGGCAGGAAACAAGAGTATAGGTCAGCTCAGAAGGTCAGATATACAAAGAAGTGGATGGAGAGTAGTGAAGGCTGAGGGGAAGAGGTCAGATACTCTGGGGAATGCTCTTGGAAATGAAAGGCACCTTGAATAAAGGGGGTGTAGGGGTGACTCTGGGAAAGAAAAGGAGGGAAGAGGTTTCAGAGTCAGAGGTTGTATGGGCTGAAGAAGGGGACAGACATGGGCCTCCTTCCTGAAGCACACCTCTACAATTCTCTCTCTAGGTAGCCGAGAAGCAGCTTTTGTATATGCCATCTCATCAGCAGGGGTAGTCCATGCTATTACTCGTGCCTGTAGCCAGGGTGAACTGAGTGTGTGCAGCTGTGACCCCTACACCCGTGGCCGACACCATGACCAGCGTGGGGACTTTGACTGGGGTGGCTGCAGTGACAACATCCACTATGGTGTCCGTTTTGCCAAGGCCTTCGTGGATGCCAAGGAGAAGAGGCTTAAGGATGCCCGGGCCCTCATGAACTTACATAATAACCGCTGTGGTCGCACGGTCAGTACTCATGTCTGTGTAAGTACACTCATATTTGCTGGGGGTGACCAGTATGTGTGACCATGGACTAAATAAATGTGAAAGTGGAAGAGCTGAAGGCTTTTGGGTCACTTCCAAAAGCCCCAACATCCTGGGACAGGAGCACTAAATGCAAGGGAGATTGGGAATGCCTAGGGTCAACCAGGTGCCTGAAGAGTCTTCACACATGTGGAAAGTAGGAAAAGGTGGAGAAAAGAAGTAACTTTTTAAGAAGGGAAAGAACTGCTTTCATAAAGACTGAGAGGATAAGAGGTTGTTCTAGTCAGTTCCCTGCTATTTGAATGCCTTCTATGTGCCTAGTACTATGCTGGAAAATGGCATACTACTAAAGTAGAAGGCATGGTACCTGGCATTCTAAAACGTGAAAAGTAGAGGATATGCAAGCAAACTGTTATCGTGAACAGAATCCTGTGGCTCTAAAGTTCAGTGGGCTGTCTGTCATGAAAAGGAAAGCACTGTTGGTCCAGGAAGATTTACTGGAAAAAGAGTTTCTTGAACTTGATCAGGAAGAATGGGTGGGATCTGATGTGGGAGAGAACAACCAAGAGCTCAATCAGCCAGCCAGGGCCAGCCTATCTCAGAGCACTCATCCTTTTGGCCCTAGAGATGACTAAAATGTGCCCTGACCAGCTACCTCTCCCTTAACTGCCTTCCCCCTCCTCCAGGCTGTGCGGCGGTTTCTGAAGCTGGAGTGTAAGTGCCATGGCGTGAGTGGTTCCTGTACTCTGCGCACCTGCTGGCGTGCGCTCTCAGATTTCCGCCGCACAGGTGATTACCTGCGGCGGCGCTATGATGGGGCTGTGCAGGTGATGGCCACGCAGGATGGTGCCAACTTCACTGCAGCCCGCCAAGGCTATCGCCGTGCCACCCGGACTGATCTTGTCTACTTTGACAACTCCCCAGATTACTGTGTCTTGGACAAGGCTGCAGGTGAGTAAGGAAGGCAGGCAGGGACATGGAGTCCCAGTTCTTAGTGCAGGCACCCCTGGTTAATCATGGTCTGTTCAGTCTCAGGAGTTAGGGAAGGGGGTGCTGTGGGAGGAGGCAGTTTCCTCCCCACATGAACACCTGGTCATGAGATTGTTGACTTATGCCTCAGTCTACCAGGCCTAGTGCTGCCCAAGTAGAGAGGAGGTCACTCAGCTCCTTGGGGCCTGAGGTCATGCATCACTCCTTTGTATCCCAGCATCTGGGATACAGTAGGCATTATTCAGGGAATGTTTAATTTAGTTACCTGTTTTCAGTTTTAAGCAATGTGTGGGCTACACAGAAACATAAGATGCAGCCCTAACCCTTTGGCTCTTTGCAATCTACTTAAAGAAATGAGACATAATGGGTAGACAAATGCAAAGAGAGTTGATTGGAGAAATCAATAAAAGTTTATTTGAGGCCGGGCGCGGTGGCTCAAGCCTGTAATCCCAGCACTTTGGGAGGCCGAGACGGGCGGATCACGAGGTCAGGAGATCGAGACCATCCTGGCTAACACGGTGAAACCCCGTCTCTACTAAAAAATACAAAAAACTAGCCGGGCGAGGTGACGGGCGCCTGTAGTCCCAGCTACTCGGGAGGCTGAGGCAGGAGAATGGCGTGAACCCGGGAGGCGGAGCTTGCAGTGAGCTGAGATCCGGCCATTGCACTCCAGCCTGGGCGGCAGAGCGAGACTCTGTCTCAAAAAAAAAAAAAAAAAAAAAAAAAGTTTATTTGAAAATGTAGGGAAAAAAAAAGAAACTGTAGAATTTAAGCTGCTCCTTGAAGCATAGGGAGTATCTGGATAGCTTGAGAGAAGAGTGGGCAATTTCTTATCAGAGTAGTAGGTGGGAAAGCACATGACCTGTTCCAGGGACAGCGAACAGACCAATCTGCTGGGTAAAAGTTCCCTGTAAGGGAGATTAAAGCTAGAAAGATGTCCTTGAAAGGTTTTATCCAGTGTCCTGCCATTGAAGATTCTGAAACAGAGCTGAAAAAGAAACGAAGGAGAGATCCCTACCAAAGGCAGGTAAAGCTGCAAATGGTTGTTTTTCAGTCTGTTTGAGGTATTTGTGGTGGGATTCTTGGAGGTGCTGGAAGGTGATATGGTTTTTCCCCAAGGGAATGAAAGTTACCATCCTGGCTCACATTTCGGGTTCAGATAGGTTAAACTAGGAACATGCAATGCAGCAGAACTCTTCTCCTCTGGTTATTGTCATGGGGCTCCCAGGCTCTTTTCTACAGGCTCAGCAGTCAGGACTTGGGTGAAGTGGAGCCAAAAAACCTCAGTTATCTTCGGTACTGTTTGTTTTCACCCATCACTGTCATTCCTGGAAGAGTCAAGTGGCTTGGAGTAAAATTGGGCATAGAAACAGGAAGGGGCTCTACGCAATTAATGAAGAAAGTAGTCTGTATACCTTGTAGGGTGCTAGAAGAAAAAAAGTCGGAGTCCTCCTGATTTTCCCAGTGATTTCCTGCCACTAAGTATACTTTCCTCCCAGTTGGTCTAATTCAGAGGGTTACTCTCTGGATACCTAGAAATAATTCCATAATATCTGAGGTGTAAGCCTACCCTGCCATACTGAAAATACACCTTTAGGGAAGGAACTTTGGAGTCAGGAGGGAGGATAAGTCAAATGTGTGTTGGTTTTTCTCACAGGCATAAAATTAGGCCTCCTAAAACCCAAAGCGGGGCCTGGAATTCAAAGAATATAAGTCATCCCAGAAAGAATATGGAGCCAGGAATTCCCTCCAAAGCAGTAGAGTCCAGTTGAAGTTTCTGTGGTGATAGAAATGTTTTCCTATCTGTGTTGTCCAATACAGTAGCAACTAGCCACATGTGATTACTGAGAACTTGGAATATAGCTAGTGTGACTGAGGAGCTACATTTTTTAGTTTACTTAATTTTCATTAATTTAGATGTAAAAGACCATATGTGACTAGTGGCTGCTACCCTGGACAGCACAGCTCCACAGTGTAGAAGGGGCTTTTGGTGCCCAAGAGGACTTAAGACCCAGCCCTTGGAGTTAGGAGACTAACATACATAGTAGACCTAGTCAGCCCACATTCCAGAGCAGTGGTCTCCTGACATTCTGCATCCTTTACTCCTATCATTAAAACAATTTGAGCATATATCTCCATTATATGTATATTTATTTATATCTGTGTTCCCCTATATGAATATGTATGTTAGAAAACATACATCAATATTTTAAATTGATGAGATAAAAAAACATAGAAGTTCTAACATTTTCCTCCCCTATCCCAGTGGCATGTGGAGACTAATGCTGTAGAAATCAGTTAATCTATTCTCCGTTTTGAACCTAGGCTAGTTACTTTCCTATCTCTGGATCCTTATTAACCATGGAAAAGGTTGGAGTAGATGCTCTGATGGGCCCAACTCATCCAAAAGTCTATTGATTTTATGATCTGTTGGCAGGATCTCTTTTGCTAAAATCAGTCAGAATGAGGTTCTAAGCATTCCCTATGCATGGGGAAAACATGATCCCTATCCTAGAGTTTCCACTGTAAGGGGAAGGGATAATGCTTAGGGATAATAATAATAATAATAATAATAATAATAATACAAGGGATATTACTTAGGAATATGCCTGCAGCCAGTCATGGTAATCAGTTCACCTCTTCAGATGAACAGAGATTATATCTAACAATCTATTATTGTGCTTATTTTCATATGAGAAACTAAGTTAATGTTTCATTTTGACTAAATCACACAACTAAGAGTGGTAGAACTGGGATTTGAATCCAGACAATATGATGTCAGAGCCCATGCTTTTTTTTTTTTTTTTTTTTTGGAGACAGAGTTTCACTGTCACCTGGGCTAGAGTGCAGTGGTGCAATCTCGGCTCACTGCAGCCTCGACCTCCCAGCCTCAAGTGTTACTCCCACCTCAGCCTCCTAAGTAGCTGGGACTACAGGCTCATGCCCACGGCACCTGGCTAATTTTTTAAGTTTTTGTAGAGGCAGGGCTTGCTATGTTTCCCAGGCTGGTCTTGAACTCCTGGACTCAAGCATTCCTCCTGCCTCAGCCTTCCAAAGTGCTGGGATTACAGGCATGAGTGAGCCACTGTGCTCAGCCCAAAAAAGCGATTCTTTATGTCTTCCTTCTGAGAATGTGGGTAAGGGTATCCAGGGCAGCTGAAGAGATAACTTTGTTCTCACTCCCTCTCTTTCCCAACCCAGGTTCCCTAGGCACTGCAGGCCGTGTCTGCAGCAAGACATCAAAAGGAACAGACGGTTGTGAAATCATGTGCTGTGGCCGAGGGTATGACACAACTCGAGTCACCCGTGTTACCCAGTGTGAGTGCAAATTCCACTGGTGCTGTGCTGTACGGTGCAAGGAATGCAGAAATACTGTGGACGTCCATACTTGCAAGGCCCCCAAGAAGGCAGAGTGGCTGGACCAGACCTGAACACAGATACCTCACGCATCCCTCCAATTCAAGCCTCTCAACTCAAAAGCACAAGATCCTTGCATGCACACCTTCCTCCACCCTCCACCCTGGGCTGCTACAGCTTCTGTTTAAGGATGTAGAGAGTAATCCATAGGGACCATGGTGTCCTGGCTGGTTCCTTAGCCCTGGGAAGGAGTTGTCAGGGGATATAAGAAACTGAGCAAGCTCCCTGATTTCCCACTCTGGAGATTTGAAGGGAGAGTAGAAGAGATAGAGGGTCTTTAGAGTGAAATGAGTTGCACTAAAGTATGTAGTTGAGGCTCCTTTTTTCTTTCCTTTGCACCAGCTTCCTGATACTTCCTTGGTGTGCAAGAGGAAGGGTACCTGTAGAGAGCTTCTTTTTGTTTCTACCTGGCCAAAGTTAGATGGGACAAAGATGAATGACATGCCTGTTCTCTGAAGTCAGTTTGAGCAGAACTACCTGGTACCCCAAAAGAAAATCTTAGGCTACCACATTCTATTATTGAGAGCCTGAGATGTTAGCCATAGTGGACAAGGTTCCATTCACATGCTCATATGTTTATAAACTGCTGTGTTTTGTAGAAGAAAAAGAATCATAACTATACAAACACATATTCATTCTGTCTTTTTCTCTCTACCATTCTCAACCTATATTGGACAGCACTGCCTCTTTTGCTTACTTGCTGCCTGTTCAAACTGAGGTGGAATGCAGTGGTTCCCATGCTTAACAGATCATTAGAACACCCGAGAACACTCCTAGGATAGAGTAATATAGTAAGTCTGGCCAGGCCTTGTGTTTGTTTGTTTGTTTGTTTTTCCGTGCATTACTCTGTAGGTTAGCCAGATTTGGGGAAACACGGAGTAAAAGATAGGCAACTCATGGATGGTGGGAGAGCAGGAAAGCAGGTCTGATCTCAAGGGCCCACATGAGGCAAAAGTACATATTAGGAAGGTAGGGATCTCTGGCTTTGGTAATTCTTTATGAGAGGATCCTAGCCTTTGAAGCTGGGAGCAGGAGTCAGTGGCTACAGTGGGAAGGAGTGCTACGGGTTGGGGCCAAAATGATACACAGAAGGCAGCCTTCCTCCATTTACTCAACAAATCTTTATTTAGTGACTCTCCAAGTCCTGATGATTATTATTGTTCAGTCCACATTCAGCTTAAATAGAGGAGAGTTTCTTCTATGCTATTACCCATTGCCTAACTAGGTTTGCAAGAGTGGAATCTCCAGAGATAGCAGGCTTAGTAAGCTGGAGGGTAGGACATGAAGTCCCCAAAACCTTGAATTCCTTTTTTTATGTGATTTGGGCAGTGGTTATCTTTTGCCTGTTGATATCTTAAAGCAGCAGAGTGGTATAGAAATTTGCAGTTATGACAGACCTGGGTTAAAAATCACAGCTGTGGCCGGGCGCGGTGGCTCAAGCCTGTAATCCCAGCACTTTGGGAGGCCGAGACGGGCGGATCACGAGGTCAGGAGATCGAGACCAGCCTGGCTAACACGGTGAAACCCCGTCTCTACTAAAAATACAAAAAACTAGCCGGGCGAGGTGGCGGGCGCCTGTAGTCCCAGCTGCTCGGGAGGCTGAGACAGGAGAATGGCGGGAACCCGGGAGGCGGAGCTTGCAGTGAGCTGAGATCCGGCCACTGCACTCCAGCCTGGGTGACAGAGCGAGACTCTGTCTCAAAAAAAAAAAAAAAAAAAAAAAAAAAAATCACAGCTGTGCCACTTGCTTTTGATATTTTGAGCAAGGTAGCTAAATTTTCTGAGCTTCTATTTTCTCGTCTGTAAAATGAGGATACGTACCTGTTCTTTTTTTTCTTTTTATTTATTTATTTCTTTTTTTTTTTTCTTTTAGAGATAGGGTTTTGCTTTGTTGCCCAGGCTGGAGTGCACTAGCATGATCATGGCTCACTGCAGCCTCAAATTCCCAAGCTCAAGCAATCCTCTCACCTCAGCCTCCCCATTAGCTGGGACTACAGGGACATGCCATCATGCCCAGCTAGTTTAAACAGTTATCAGAGATGGAGCTATGTTGCCTAGGCTGGTCTTGAATTCTTGGTCTCAAGCAATCCTCCCACTGCAGCCTTCCAAAGTGCTGAGCATATAAGCGCAAACCACTGTGCCCAGCTGTCAGATACTGAGTTTTAATTATGCCCCAAACTCCAGCCCACAGATCCTCTTCACCAAAGCTCCTGGCTGGTCTAGCCCATCATGACTTCTCTAGGAACAGTCCTTCTTTAGGACTATAAAGTATTAATAAAAGTCTGTAGATTAAGGGGCCTGCATAAAGAATTCTGGATATAGGCCCCTGTCTTTCCCAAGTTCCTCTCCAACATCCCTTGGGGTCCTCATATGTTTTTGAAGCAGCTTTACTCTGCACAGGCAGCAGGAGGCTGGGGGAGCCATGGCTCTGGGCCACAGGGGCAGATTTATTTGGATGATAGGACTAATATTTGTGTAACCTGCTGAGACCTGTGTGGGAGAGTTTAGGGTGGTTTTTCTTTTGGTGAGGGGATTTGCTCCGGTTTCACATCCATTAACACAAAACATGAGCTAGTTAGGGCCCTTGTGGTCTGCGGTAAGGGGATGCCTGTGGAGAAATGGGCCTGAGTGAGTCAGGCCAAGAGAATGTCTTCCTTCAGAGTGGAGTCAACTGGATAACTGATGAGCCAATGGTAGGATTAAGGAGGGGGAAATGGGAGGGGAAGAGAAGAGCTGACATCTTGAGGAAAGCTTTGGGGTAGTGGAGAGGTAAGGGGGTCATGGTTAGTCTGAACTCAACGATAGGGCTGAATGAATTTACCACAGGAGGCTGCCTTATATTATATGCCAAGCTGCTGGGGAAAGACTCAGGTCCTAGCCAGCCCCTGTTCTCACAAGAACATGCAGGTTACCACATAAACAATGGCATAGGCCTTCCATGGGAAGTCAACGTGACTTAAATCTACCTATGCCCTATTATCTATTTTTTGGTTTTTGGTTCTCTTTCCTGTGGAAGGAAATGGGCCTCTTCTGGCATCTCATGCTACTCTGTGCTTTTCCTTGGGCTCCAGATTCTAGCTCATAAAGATGCAAGTTTTGCAATTTCCTATAAATGGTTAAGAAAAGAGCAAGCTGTCCAGAGAGTGAGAAGTTTGAAAAGCGAAGTGGATAAGTGAGAGAAATGGTGTCCATTTGAGCCCCACTACAGAGGTTATGTGGCCCAAAAAGGAATGATGGCCAAGCAATTAATTTTTCCTCCTAGTTCTTAGCTTGCTTCTGCATTCTGATTGGCTTTAGACAACTGGCATTTAGTCTGCATTACACAAACAGACACTAATTTATTTGGAACAAGCAGCAAAATGAGAACTTTATTTGGTGCAGTCAGGGCTCCATTTAGTTCCCTCACTCTGCTTCTAATCACTACTTCTCCCAGCCCTCTATTTGATAGAGGTCTGTCCCTCAGATCAGCAATGTCTTAGCCCGTCTCCTCTCTTCCATTCCTTCCTGTTGGTACTCATTTCTTCTAACTTTTAATAAACGTTTAGGTATAATACATTACAGTAAGTGCTATTTAGATACAAACTTAAAAAGATACTATATATTTTAAGGATCTAAGAATCCTTTAGAGAAGGCACATGACTGAAGTACCTCAGCTGCACAGCCTGTAGCCAGTTTTTTTTATGTAAAAGTAAGAATGCCAGCCTTAACCTAGCCCTGCAGATAAAAGCTAACTTTTATTATTACCAGCCCTGAATAATGGCAGTAATCCACACTCTTCCTTAGAGTGATGCTGTAAAAATAAAATCAAGGGCTTCAGATTAAAAAAAAAAAAACAAAAACAAACATTGCCTGGCCCTGAGGGTCTGTCTGCAAAACTTCTTGTAGATCTAACTTCTGAACACTCACTGCTTCATTTCTATTCCTCCCTGTTGCAGGGAGTAATTTCTTCTCCTTTCTCTCACTTCCCTTATCAAGAACACCAACCACTAAGTCTTTGCCAAATTCTCAGACCCACTCAGGACACGAGTCTCTACATGGCTTAATAGAAGAGAGATAATTAGGATTTTTTTTCCTCAGTCTTTCTGAGGTTTTTATTTAAACGCACTCAGTGGTCACAGGGCAGAAGCTCAAGCTAGCTGGGGCGAAGGGAGGACGCCAGGGAGAGTATGTTTCTCATCCCTGGGAGGCATTCAGCCTAGCTCCTGCAGCCAAATTACAGCACCAGAGAACAATGTGATGCATTCCTGGGCAGGTCGGTGGGACCCTGGGCGCCTGGGCCTTGCGGAGAGAGGTGCCAGACACAGAGCTCTCCGTAAGCAATCCTGCAGAGCCGCCCCCTGGGTGCAGAAATGAAATACGGGAAAGCTTCACATTACACAGAGACCTGTAGCTCACACCTGGTTATTGATGGCCTTGGTGGAGGCCTCTGCCCCGACCCTCCACTTGGGAACTGCCTGCTACTACGGGGGTTGGGCATCTTTGAAGCAATGTTGGAAAACAAGAAAGAGATGGTTCCTTTTCACTCTTTGCCCTCCCTGTCAGCCTGAGCACAACCATGAGGTTACACACACACACACGTGTACATATATAGACACATACAGAACTTCTCTCAGGCTGCATAGGAGTTCTGCTCATCCTCCTCTCCTCAACAATTAAAAAAAAAAAACAATTAGATTTCGATCCAGTAATTCAAAAAGGATACCAATAGGGTTTAGCTGTAATCAAGGAATATCTACAAAGTTACATTACCAACCTGCAGGCAACTCTTTGGTTTGGGGACCAGAACTCCGCTGGTGGGTGGTTGGGGGAAGGATGCAGAAAGGGCATGGCGAGGAGAGATCAGTAGTGAAGAATTATCACCAAAGGAGAGTGGCTGAGACTGTACACATTCACAAGGCTGGTTCATGCTGGAGAGAGTGAGATGTGCACCCTATGTGCTGAGAATGATGAGACAGTCTCCTATGACTGCATAAGGTATAACTGCCAAGCCTACTGCTTATGACCTGTGGTTGTTTTAAACTCTTAACTGGGTTAGAAAACTGGATAGCTTTGGATTCCAGGGATGACCTCCGTAAGAGAGAAGCACTGGAAAAGACCAAGTGGTGGCTTTATTAGGGTAAATATATCACAGTTGCTACAGTGAATTGAGCTTTCTCAGAAGCTATTATTTTCTTTGGGTGATTGGTAGGTATAGGGCAATAGCCAGTGGGCTGTATGCCTGTCCCTGACCTCAAAGGTAAAGGGATAGAAAAGAGAGGAGTTTACAAACTCATTTTCCCACTTCCCACTCATGGCTTATATTATCTCTGAGCATCTTTGTGGCTATTCCTCATTTACTTAAGATGTTTTAGTCATTCTGGATTTGCAAATGCAAGGCAAGCATTCTCCCATTGGCCCCCTAACTGTTAACTATCCTGGCTTAAAATTTTCCTTTACTCACTTCCATTCTATGGGTATATGGATGGAGCAGCTGGACATTAGAGTTCTTTCTCTTTGACCAAAGGAGCCAAAATGTGGTGACTTTACTTCAACCCTAACAGCTCCTGTAAGCAGCCCTGGCCAAACAGAAAGGCTAAGCTGAATGAAGAAAAAAGGAAGACAACTTCATCTACAGTTGTCCTTTTTGACAGCTTCCAAGGTGGGGTTTCCCCAGGAATAACAATAATGTTCATAAGAAGCTTTTTCATATACAGAATGCTTTAGCATATACGTAATCCTCACAACAACCCTGTGAGGTAGGGGTTACTGTCACTTTACAGATGCTGTTCAGAAGAATTTGGTGATTGGTCCAAGGTCAAATGAACTGTGCGTGGCTCAGCCAGAACTCAAACCTAGGTCTTCTGACTTCAAATCTTGTGTATTCTCCTCAAATCCTGAGGATGCCCAGGGTTGGGGGCGCCAGAGTCCCAGCACCTTCAAAACAGAAATTGATACAAAATGTTCAAGCCTTATAGGAGTCCCAGGACTGCCAGGAGAGTATATCTGAGCACGGTTTACAAAGGAACAGCCTAGGCCCTCCTGAACCTTATCAACCAATGGCTCTTTTGCCATTTCTGCCACTATTACCACCGGTACCATGTGACCACTATACAAAGTATTCCACATTTAAACAACTCTGGCTCTTAATTCTATTCCTTTTTTCCCCTTCAGATTAACATTAAAATTTTGTTTTATCTAGTCCTTTGGAAATTATGCTAAGTGTATAGACACAGTAGAAGCAGTCATGACAGAAAATTATTAAGGCTTTGGGCTTTGAAAGTATGTGTTAGAGGCCGGGAGCGGCAGCTCACGCTTGTAATCCCAGCACTTCGGGAGGCCGAGTGGGCAGATCACGAGGTCAGGAAATCAAGACCGTCCTGGCTAACATGGTGAAACCCCGTCTGTATTAAAAATACAAAAAAATTAGCCGGGCGTGGTGGCGGGCGCCTGTAGTCCCAGCTTCTCAGGAGGCTGAGGCAGGAGAATGGTGTTAACCCGGGAAGTGGAGCTTGCAGTGAGCTGAGATCGCGCCACTGCACTCCAGCCTGGGTGACAGAGCAAGACTCCGTCTCAAAAAAAAAAAAAAAAGTATGTATTAGAATTTTCTTTGAGATTTCACTCCTTTTAAAAATGCTGTCAACTCCTGGGTTAGGAAAGCAAGATTAGGGAATAAGTATCCTAAGAAACTCCCATGCCAAGCCAGATAGATGCCTACCCATGGCCTGGTAAAGGTCCTGGGATCTCAAGCTGATGCAAACAACTTGTGTACACCAAGGCAAGGGGTCTCAATCCTGCAGAGAAACCCCTGTGAGATGAGGCAGACAGCAGATTTTCACTTGATCAAACACTTGCTGCTCTCAACCCCTCTTTGTTCTCCCATCCAAAATTTGGACCTCTGTTTAGGCGCAAGACAGTGAGTAAGAGCAGCTCCAAAAGATGATGTACGCAAGGGGAACTCTTCTGTTCAATTCTGGAATGTTTTCTGTTAGAGACAGCGTAGGCTACCTATCCCACTCCTGCACCCCAACTGTTAAGACAGAAGGGAAAAGTACAATGTTCATCAATCATACACCTGGGATGCTGCAGCTCCCTCACCTGGGCCCCTGCTTGAGCTAGGGGAAGAACACCTCATGAAAACAGTCTACCTATAGTCAGGACTTCCCCAAAACAGACTTTACTTTTTGGTCCATCGATCTTGGCTCTCACTGTTCTCCCTGCTTCCCACCCCCAACTGCCTCTGCATGTGGGCTCAGAAGTCATCATCTAAAGAATTCCATTGCTCACCTCCTGCATAGCAGCACAGCCCCATGAGGCCACACACCAGATGGAGGGGATAAAAGTACGAGGTCATGGCTTCTAGCAAGAGGCTTTTTCTTAAACTAACCCTGACTCCTGGAAAAGAGGCAGAGCAGGAGAGTGTTGAATGAGCTGCTGATGACAGCAGCTTCATAGGTCTTGTGTATAAAGGAAGGAAAAAGCCAACTTGGCTTTCTGTGGAAATTTACCTACTCCCATTTTCAGGTCTACTCCTGGCCTCACATCTACTTCTTGAAGGTGTCCAAGTAGAATGCAGAGATTGTCAAACTAGAGGGTTAACTCCTTCCCAATTGTAGGGATCTATTCAGCAGGCTGCCACACACATGCTGAGGTGGAGGCCAACCCTGAACACATGCGCTGCTTCTTTAGGAATGTAACCATGAAGTAAAAGGAAACAGTAAGGAAGGTGAACTGGAACTCTGGGGAAACTGAAAAGGTCATCGATAGGCCTTCAAAATATTTGTGTGTAATAAGTAGACACAAGAGGCTGGAGGAAGATGATCATTCCTAGAATAATTATGCTTATTGGGTGACAATATACAGAAGCAACAATTACAAGAAAATGAAACAGTTTAATGGACTAGGAAGCAGAAGTCTGAGAATAAAGGAATTAGGTTAATGAGATTAATCAGAGATGGCATTCCACAGGAGGTGACTTTTGAGTTGAATTTTTAAAAGATAGCTTTATGTGTTTTATGAACTGATTGAAGGCAGTCAGAAGAAGGCATTCTAAATCGAAGAAACTGGTATGTGCTGAAACTTAGAAGCAGGAATGTACAAGCAATATATAAGGAATTTCAAGCAAGTACACATTATATACACTGGGGAATACAGAGAAATTAGAATGCTGAGATCAGGGCTTAAATAATGTGAGGTGACTGTGTGCACCTAGACTGTCAAATGGTTCAGCATCCCCTATAGAGCCACATAGTATCTTGATTTATGTCAGTAAACATCAGGGCACCTATGGAAAAGCACAAGGATGAGTCCATTTGTTACAGACACGGGGACTAAATGAGAACTACACTGTAAAGTTCAACAAAATGCTACATATCATTAACTACAGCTCCTTATCATTTGAGATTCTGGGCTAAGTAAGAGATATCAAATATCCTATCCAGTACTGTGATGCATTAATGTAGGCTTACAGGCCCAGAACCTGGCATAAATCAAGCCAAACCCTTAAGAAATTAGAATGTGAAAAGAAAATAATTTAAAATAGAAAATACATGCTGCTTTTCCTCACTCCCAAACTTAAAACTTGACTGGTCCTATATATTCTACTTGGTATATTGAATTTTTGCAGCTAGCAGATTTATCGTATCTGAGGCCATAGTGAATAGAAGAGCTGCAAAAGAGCTTTAGAGACTGCAAAACCAACTCACTAATAAATGACGAACTTTATTCTAATTTACTACCGGGTGCTGAAGTAGCAGCCAAAGGAGGAGACAAATTCTAACTTCATGATCTCTAGTTAGGTGTCTAGCTTCCCGTATTTGCTACAGGTAAAAATGGCTACTTATGGGGCTTTTGTCATACTTCTTAACCAAATTTCCCTAACTTCTGAGGACAAAAACCATAAGGGCAATCTTGTTCTTCCAAAGCAGTTGCCTGGTGCCACTTTCAGAAACAGAGTATTGAACTGTGGGTCTGACCCAGTGTGGCACTGAGTGTGTGTGTGCACATTGAATAAGCCAAAATGTGTGCCATATTCTAGGTTTCTGCTTTACTTAACTGGCAAAATTTGGTGCTGGAAGGGAGGCAGCCACAAAACAGTGATAGCATTTGTTAGTATCATCTTAGTTCTCTTCCCTCCCCTAGGTAGTTTAGAAAGGGTGATTTCTGAAACCCTTCACAAAAGCTCAAGGGTTTACATTCAACTGTGACAGCACTATGAATTCATTAAGAAGCATGTTTCAGGTTGCACTATAATTTCCCTATGTAACATAAACCCATGGAATCTGACATAAGCTGATTGCTCATGCTGGTTGTTTTATTTACATTTCTGAATGGAAAGGATTTCAATACTCATAAAATATCTAACTGGCTTATTTTTCATCTCTTCTCCCAGAGAAGCTATTATAAAATAGGCATAGAGACAGAAGTCTCAACTTGTATAACTGGTTAAGCAAACCAGGGAAATGTTATTGCTCAAAATGCAATTTTAAAAAATTCAATATGGAACTTGAGGCCAAAAAAACAGATGGTTACTCTCAATGCCATCTGAAAGATAAAAGTTCAAAAAAAAAAAAAAAAAAAAGGTAACTATGCTCATTATCTTCAACCAAGTCCTATGGTAGGTAGTAGGTGGTACCTTCATAGGAGCTCAGTGGAACTGGGGTTTACTCACATCTTTTTTCTGGCAACCTAATGTTAGCAGACACACTTGCTAGTTTGAACAGGAATGCAGATGAATGGATGAAAGTGGGCTCCCTACCACCCAGAAATATGAATGTGCCTCCTTACCAATATGTTACATATTAGACCTCTGAATTAGAAGATGCCAACATGCAACTAACTTACTATCTGGAGATATATATTTTGTTAACCTAGGCAAAGAATAATAATTTCTACTTATTCCAGTAGGTGTGACAAGCTCAGAGAAGTGAGTGACAAGCTAGAGAAGTAACAGTCACCAATAAAGTAAATTCCAAAGCTGGATCCCCAGTTTTCTGCCTCCAAGTTGTTCAAATAGTTTTTCTTCCTTTCTTCTACTGCAACACTGAGTTAAATCAGTATAATCTACAACTCTCTAGTATTATTATAATGTTTACATGAGTAGTTTAGAATTTAGCCTTGGGCCTGCTCTTCTACTGTGTATACTTTCATCATTTTACCATATTTACTGATTACATGCCTAATTTGTATAAATTGAAGGAGAGGTTCTGTGCCTGTTTATTTTTTGAGATGGAGTCTTGCTCTGTCACTAGGGCTGGAGTGCAGTGGCATGATCTCGAATCACTGCAGACTTCGCCTCCCGGGTTCAAGCAATTCTCCTGCCTCAGCCTCCTGAGTAGCTGGGATTACAGGTACCTGCCACCACACCAGGCTAATTTTTGTATGTTTAGTAGAGATGGGGTTTCACCATGTTGGCCAGGCTGGTCTCAAACTCCTGACCTCAGATGATCCATCCACCTAGGCCTCCCAAAGTATTGAGATTACAGGCATCAGCCACTGCACTCAGCCTCTGTGCCTATTTTAAAACATATATCCCAAAGTCATATCCCCAGTGATCCAGCTAGTCTGTTACTGTAATGAGACAGCTCAATAAACATAAGAAATATTTTTTCAGTTACTTAAAGAGAAAATAATACTGGTGGTTCTCCCTGTAAAGAGGGAGAATTGTCAAAAATGCAGAATTGATCAGCAAAACCCAGCTATAAAGAAAGGGCAAAGGCCGGGCGCGGTGGCTCAAGCCTGTAATCCCAGCACTTTGGGAGGCCGAGACGGGTGGATCACGAGATCAGGAGATTGAGACCATCCTGGCTAACACGGTGAAACCCCGTCTCTAGTAAGAAATACAAAAAACTAGCCGGGCGAGGTGACGGGCGCCTGTAGTCCCAGCTACACGGGAGGCTGAGGCCGGAGAATGGCGTGAACCCGGGAGGCGGAGCTTG